GGAGGCGGCGGGGGTCTCCCGGGGCGGCCCGGGCGGGTCTCGGCCTACGGGGAAACGACTCCCGGGTGTCGGCGCCGCGAAAGGGCAGCGGTCGGTTACAGATGACGAGTCAAAATGCCAAGTGGAAAACGAGTCTGTGTCTGCCCGGCGCCCCTTAATCCCCGCTCAGAGCGGGCGTTTCTGCCCGAGGTTTGTTCCCTCAGCGTTGGGTCTGCCAGGGGAGACGAAGACAGACAGACGTTTCTCAAGCCTGAAGAGGCGTCTCCTGCTCCTTGGGGGATCCACCTGCTGCTTCCCAGGTGTTTGCCCAGGCTTCTGGGCGCTTTCCTGTGGCCGGCTAGTAGCCCCTTGCTTTCTATAACCTTTCAGACTCGTAGTTTTGAGTGTGGCATGCTGGGTGAGACATGAGGATGGGATTGAATGGAAACGGTGCTGTATTCCTTCTTCTGCCGTTGACCAGAAACTTGGGTGTTGTGGAAGCATATCTTTTCCACTTTTTTTTTTATTATTTCTTCACACTCCACCCCCCTTCTCCAGGCCCCATCACTACAGTTGGGAAGTCCAGCAGCCTTACTGTGCAGTTTCAGATTTGGTAGTGCCCAGATCACTTAAAATATGCTTACTTAACGCATTATTTCAAAATGGATTTTTACTGTTTCAGAGTGATATCTGAATGGAATCAGTAATAAAATGTGCTGATGTTTATTTACATGAAGCAGATGAAAGCAGATATTCCTTAAAAGCTGGTTTTCTCCTACTTAATTCCAGCTGCCCCTTAGCAAGCCAGGGGGACTGAGTGGCGGATGCCGCAGAAAGCTCGGTTTGCTCCGTGTTCCTACGGGCAGTCAACAAAATGATACAGTGAACGTACAAGGGAAGTGCTTGATGAGTGTAAGGAATGGAAATAGGTCAACTGCAAAAGGCGTTTTTGTTTCAAATCAGGCTGCTCAGTTACTGTAAGACTCTGAGGTGGCTTGGTCATTGTAGGGTCAGAGGTATGAAGCTCTTTTTTCTGTTGCTGCTTGCAGGGTGAGGACTTGTTGGGTTGGTTATTGAGGCTGCTGACTGCATTACCAGAATCTTTGAAAAACACTGACACAGTTGTCCTTGGAGCTTAGGATGGTATTCTTTTTATAGATAGTATGAAAAAGTAGTTCATAGTCTCTTTAAAAAACCACCCAAACAACAAAAAACCAAACAAATTTTTGTGAGTTACAGACTGTCCATTTTCCTTCTTGAATGTAATAACACCCACACCCTGTAGTTATCACAGCTGTCACATTACAGCAGGCGAAATGTGAAGGTATCTCTGTATACAGCAGCTACAGCCATTTGTAAGGAGTGTGGTTAGCAGGTAACCATACATATAATTTATATATGTGTATATATACACCTGTATCTTAAACTCATTGTCTCCGTGAGGCTGCCTTTTTGCTTTTCCTCCTTCCGTTGAAAGTGAGAAACTTTTCAGCTAAGATGGAATGTCCAGAGAACTGGACTCTTGGTGTTATTCTCTTGAGGACACCTGTGCTTTCTGGGGCTGTTTCAATAAAGGAATAAAGTTTCCTCACATGTAGTAAGAATGCAAATACTTAACTCTTTCTGAAGGGTATGGTTTTAGTACTGGAACTGCATCTAGAGAGAAAGACCGGTCCAACATAGTAAGCTGTTTTATTTTACTTTGATTTGCTCTCCCTGTAGAAACACTAAAGATCCCACAACTGAGCCTGGGAGGTGGTTGCTTCAGCTCTGGATTCCTTGTTTGCAGGGGTCTACCCTGGGGAAGTACCTGCATAAGAAGAATGACATGGTCTAAAGTAGAAGCACAAAGTGTTTTCTGACAATTATTTGCTTTAAGGTTTATATTTCACATTTTGGGATGTGTTTTATATATTCAGATTTTGTAGTTTATTTTGAAAGACTTTTTAGAGTGAACTAAAGTAACTGTTTAGGGAACTTCCCCAGGTTAAAATTATCACCTTCATCAGTAACAAAACTCCTCTCCAGTGTTACCCTGAACACAAGTTTCCCAGAAGACTGGCCTCCTGCCAAGGCATTTTCATCTATTTACTCTTGGGCAATTCCATGCTTAGCAAAGCCAAAACTGGGAAATGTGCCTCTTATCCCCCAGGAGACAGCCTTCGGCATGGTACTGCCACTGCCCTCTGACACAGAGCGTTCTGCTTTAGCTGGGAGTCTAAATGTGCAGTACCTGTCACTTTGTGATCATGTCTTCTGGGTTTTTTTTAGGAATAATATGGATTATCCTGTGTTTAAGGTACCTGTGATGGAGCATATGAAATCGTGAGAGAGCTGCTCTCATTAGGAGTTTATTTACATGAAATAGAAGATGCTTTCAGTAACCTTATTTTAGATAAGTATGTGTAATGAGTATTGTTGAAATACTTCAAAAGTTTTAAGCTACTTTAGTGGATATATTCTGGAATAAAGATGTCTTCTTTGAATTACTTAGTATCACTGGAAAGATACAGCACTAAAACAATTTTCTTTTCCTCTGAGAAAGTTCACTGGAATTTATAAAACATAGAAAAAAATTTTTAAAAAAAGCCTGCCTAATACATTACTCATGTTCTATTGCTGTTTAAAAAGGGGGGGGGGGAAAAAAAAAAAAGCTTGAAGAGTGAGACAATATTGGGCGTAGCTGGGAAAGCTGTGCACCTTGGCTGGGTCGGGATGTCCGTGGGCTGCCCTGCCCAGAGCGCTCTCGCCGTCACACACTGTCCCCGTGCAGGCACGGCATCTGCTGTGGGCAAGGAGCCTGTGTCCTCACGTGGAAGTCCTTGCCCACGTACCTTCTCTTCAGCCTCCCAAACGCACTAACAACGCGCGGAGTTCCCTTCAGTCCTGAGTCCCTCGAGAGTGCGGGCAGGGCACCCTTCCTCTGGGGTTGTGCACTGTAAAATACTTGATTTTAAAATCTGTGAGGGACAGGGCAAGGGATAAGGCAGCAAGTTACATACAGCAGTAATGAAAAGAGCTATTTAAGAAGTGGGTGTAACAAAACTCTTAATTAGATAGGAGCTAAAATAATGCTGCTCCAAATTCAAGTCAGCTTCTTGGAATGTGGAAGGGAAGCTGGAGCCCTTACAAGCGCCAATTAACTTGCGTGAGCTGGTAGATGAACTCGGGTGTCTTCCTTGCTTGGGTCAACACATTGCAGTGAAATACTGAGTTCTTCCACCGATGTCTTTTATTTTGCCATGTCAGTAGCAACCCTTAGAAATTAATAAATAGTTTGCAGGACCGTTCACATGACTGTTGTGAGGTGGAAATCACAGAGTTCAGGATTTATGGGTTTTAAGCTTAGCTCTAATGATGTACTGACAGTAGGTGTGAGTTTTGTGTAAACTAGGTCTTGGCAAATGGAATCTCCTGAGGTTATGAGTTAAGCTGAATCAGGTAACTAAAATTAGATTCCTGTGAGATCTCTTGGGTTTAACTTCTGGTGTGTACATTGTGTGGTATTTGGCATGGAGCTTCGGGTCAGTTTTAGGGCATTGACTTCCACGCAGAGGCCATCTGCTAGAATTTGGAGAACATGGGATAGAATATGGGAACATAACCCTTACCCAGGGAGCTGTCAGGAAGAAACTGCAGAATTCCTGCTGGCAGGGTCGGTTCTGCAGAAAGGGGAACTTCCTCAGTGCTGGGTTGAACCGTGCAGTGCTTTGGTCAGTGGATCATCCCCTTGGGTGCAGGCCGGTGGCAATGAGGCTGGGGAGACAGCAGCTCTGCAGGGCAGGAGGGCTGTGAGTGCTGGCTGGGGACCACCATGGATCTTGAATGTGCTGAGGGTGAAAACTGGAGGCAGTTAATGCAAACACCGCAGCTGGGCTGAAGAACATGGTAGCTGTTGGAGAACATTTGAGGGATTTGTCTGTGGGAAGAGCCCTTTGGTAGCTCCTTTGCTTAGAGAAAAAGCAGAGGTTGTTGGTCAAAAAAAGTGGTCATGTGGCAGTTCCAAGTTGGTGTTCCTGCCTGAAGCTGGGCTCCCTGTGTTCCCCTGTTCACTGCCGCTTTCCTTGTCTGCTGCACATTATCAGCAGCAGGTCCGGGGCACACTGGTGTCTTCAGGTGGTGGTGACAGCGTGTTCTGGTGTAAAATGGTGTCAGCTGAGCTATGTGTGTGCACCCAGTGACATTGCAGTATCTTGTAGTGTGTAATACAAGAAATTTCAATAAACTCATGTTTTACTGTGGGTGCTGGTTTGACTGTTCGTAATCTTCCTTTTGTAAGTACATTATTTGAATAAAAGCTGCCTTTTTCATGGTAAGAATGGGTCCTGAAACATCCTGCGTCACCTCCCAGAAGCCATGCCCTTGTGTACAGCTCTCCCCACTTCCTCACCCCACCACATAAGATTATTGGATACGTGAGTGTTTAAAGAGGTTATATGTAAGCTGCTGTTCTTTGTATTTTAACATACACAAGTAGAAAATATCTGTAAAGGAATCCTCATTAAAACTTATTTTGTAGGATAACTGGGATGATGAGGAGGAAGAGGAGGAAGTAAAGGAGACGGAGGTAAAACAAGGTGAGATTTTAAAGTTGTACGTGGCTCTGCAGAGAACAGACATCATTCTGTTTTGTCTTGAGTGTATCTGAAGAATCAAACCCACTTAATAGGCCTGGGTTTGTTTTTGACAAAGCCTGTCTCTTCACTCTGTGTTCAGGTTCCAGTAACTGAGCGTTGTGGCTTTCTCTTTGATTAGTGTTTCTATGTAGTTGCTGGGGAAAAAAAATCATGAACTCTTTTGAGAGCTGTATTGTTCAATGTTTTGCAGAACCAAAAGTTTCAGAAAAAAAGAAAATAGCAGAAAAAATAAAAGAAAAAGAAAAGCTACAGAAGAAAAAGCAAGAGGAGCTTAAAAAAAGGGTAACTATTTCTTCTGGTTATCATAAAATTTAGAGGGCAGGTTTGATTTTATTTTTTTTTTTTTGAGGTTGAAGATGACCTGTAAAGATCTTGACTAGTCTCATAAAACAAACTTAAGTCTTGTACTTAATAGCATCAGGGGGATGTTAGTTTTAATTTCTCTGTAATTTAATCAGTTACTGAAATAATGCTTATCTGTTTCCTTTGTAATGCACCGCATGATAAAACATGCAGTTGTGAAACTCAGAACTAAGGTGTTTCTTTCCACTTCTTGTAAAATGAACAATTTCTTAAACAATGTGGCATTGTTACACTTCAGTGGGATGGGTTTCAGGTTTGTACACGCTTAAGGTGTGCTCAGTTCAGGCAGAAGTGAGCTGTTGGGGTGGCACTGCAAAAAAACTCCATTTCTTGTGATACCCTTGATCTCTGCTCAAGGGGAAGAAATATAACGTTCTCCCTATATACGCTTTTAAATTCAGTTAGAGGCACCAGAGGAACATAAAGAACTTACACCAGAAGAACAGTTAGCAGACAAACTACGACTAAAGAAATTACAAGAGGAGTCAGACCTTGAGTTAGCAAAAGAAACCTTTGGTAAGTGTTGTGCCCAAGCCAAGCAAGGCACGCAAGTGCTGTATCCTCTGAAGGAAACTGTGTGGTGGGGGGGGACCCTGCAGGATTTGTCTGTCAGGGCAAGTGCAGGTTGTGCTACTGAGAGGAGAGGGGTTTAAACTCAAACTGCTGGAGGCGTGTGCTGGCACTAAGGACTAATTGCAGGAACCACAAAAACATCTTCAGAATAGAAGGTGCTTTTTCTTAATATGTTGTGGTTATAGGAAAAAGATGGCTGACTAAATTTCCCAACATACCAGTACTTCTGGTAAAAAGATGAGTGTGTAAAAAGAAAGAAGTGCTGTCTCTTAATGTTCTGGGGTGCTTCATGACATGGGTTTAATGAGGCCAGTAGACAAGTGTGGCGCAGTGTGACTTGTGTGAGTGCCACTTCAGGCGATCGGTGCAATGAGGCCGGTGTTGAGAACGCCAGTGAGGTCAGTGGGGTGAGCTCGTTCCCTCGCCTAGACAAAGCAGGCTTGAGCAGATCATTCTGGTTTTGTGCTTTGATGGAACTAGCAAAGATCTTGATTCACAGTAGCATCCTTCAAACATAAAAGTATGTTTCCTTGATGGTAGTGATTTACCCAGCTTATTACTCAGTGAAAATTCTGCTCTGAGTCTTCTGAGAGAGTACAGTGCCTTGAAGAGGGTGGGTGCATTAAACATGGCTGCAAAGAACCAACTGCATTTTGCACTTAAGAGCTCCAGACAGGAATTCTTTATTTAAGGGGAAAAGGGTTTCCTGTAGTGCATGTTGCTCTAGAAATAGCTGGTTCAAATTACTAAGTTCTGCAGCAAAATACCTCCCTGTACAGGCCAGTAACAGGCTGTTGGCTTTGGTGAGTGAGTAAACCTGGGCTTTGGCTTTGTAAAGCTTTGGAGGTGAAGGAACTGAATGTGAATGTTACTTGTTCCTTTAGGGTCATCTTTGAGGGATCACAGCTAACGTTTTCTGTAATACCTCTGTCTTTTTGTGCAGGTGTAAATAACACTTGTGGAATAGATGCCATGAATCCCTCTTCAAAAGATGACTTTACGGAATTTGGCAAATTACTAAAAGAGAAAATTACACAGTATGAAAAATCATTACATTATGCCAGTTTTTTGGAAGCATTAGTTCGAGACGTATGTATTTCATGTAAGTTAAGTGAAAGACATCCTAGAATACATTGTGCATAAAACTGTGAGGGAGTTGAAACATGCTGTTATAGTAAATATTAAATCCAGGTTGATCGATGCAGTTTATACTAAATGAAATACTCGTTTGTTTTGCTGACTAGGATCCAATTCCATTCCCACAAGCGTTTTTACGGATTGTGTGCTTATGAGTTACTCTTTCTGCATGCCAGTTAAAGATGGTCACTTTAGAGTGTGAATTTTTATGTTCATCTAAATCTTGTTTGTTTTTCTTAAAACCATTTCTAAAATAATAATAATAGTAGTAAAAAATTCTCTGAGCCAGATAACTCATTTGTAAGGAAACTGTTACAAAATCAAGCTTGTGTCATTCTGGTACCACAAAATATTGTTCTGGAATTCAGCAGGGAGCTATAGAGATAAAACTATCTGAACCTTGTCTTGTTCCACTGCTCTGGTGGGCTCAAGCACTCAGCAAGCACATTGCTTGAGACCTTTCCTGTCCTGTACGCATGTTGTCCTTCACTCAAGGGGTAACTTGATGCTCTTTAGTGCTGTATAAATACGGGGATCACAGGCTGAAGGGAGCTGGCAGCTTGCACTTCAGATGGACTCCAGGCCTTCCAGAGGGAGGGACTCGCAACTGCTCTGACTATTTGTTGTGAATATTATTGTTAAGCCACTGCTCCTTTTGATATGTTTTACTGTTCAGGTGCATTCTCATTAAGACTGTTGTGTTCACTTTAATTTGCAAGTTTTACCTTGTGCTGAACTCAGGCTGGCTGAAATAATAACTGATCAGAAGTACCCTGTCTGTATTTTGCTGATTTAAATCAAGTAATCACCTCTACTTATTACATGTTTATTTCTTGGTTTTAGATAATGTTGATGTTAATTAACTGCCTTTAAGAACAATATTGATGAGGATTTTTTTTTTTTCCCCCCTTGATGTAGTGGAAATTGATGATTTGAAAAAGATCACAAATACTTTGACAGTACTATGCAGTGAAAAACAAAAACAAGAAAAGGTAAGATTTCTGTGTTTCTGCAGCAATAATGGTACTTGCTAAGGGGGCCAGGCTGGAAAATGGCTATAATGTTTAACACTGACTTGAACTGCTGATTTTGTAGTAGCAGGAGATTAAATTATAACGTTGGGGACTGGTTTAGTGTTAAATCTTCTTTACTGTATGAGGTGATTGGGGGTTGATTGAGTCTAGAGATCGCAGGCAAAACCTCGACTAATTTATAGAAGTGTTTCCTACATGTAACCTGGTTCCATTTTGTGCTGTCATGGAGTTAAAACAGCTGAGAGGATATCCTAAAGATGGAAGCTCATTTAGAGTTAAATGTCAATAGAAAACCAATCTATGGATGTGACTTAAATCTTTGCCAAAGTTGGAGATTTTGAACAGCAGATAACTGGGATTTATACACTGTCATGCAAACTAAAGGAACAGTAAGAGCATAGGCAAGTGCGTATGAGAGTGCTTGTACCCAGAGACATGTGGTGTTACTCTAAATCTGAGTAGAACACATTGCTGTGGGTTTTAAAGAAAACATGCTCTTCCTATTTAAGCAGAATAAAGCCAAAAAGAAGAAAAAAGGTGTTGTGCCTGGAGGTGGTTTAAAGGCTACTATGAAAGATGACCTGGCTGATTACGGAGGATATGACGGAGAATATGTACAAGACTTTGAAGACTTCATGTGACGTTTATCTCCCCTTCTGTTGTCTTTCTGTTGCCCATAATCCCTTAAACATGTAGCACAACTTTTCTTCCTTTAAATTCTGCCAAATGCTACAATCAAAATTGCAGTATCTCTGTGCTGGTGGTTTAACTCTTGACGGTCTGTGCTGAAGCACTGGCCTTTCCTGGTCTGTGGTCAGGGGTTAGAATGAAAACATTTAAAAGCTATGTAAATTGCAGTTAAAAAAACCAAAATTCTGATAATGGTCACTGTTGCTATCTGATTTTATAGTAACAGCTGCTAAATTGGAAAGGAATTTCAATGAGGTGAAGTATTACCAGCACAGTTCAGAGACATGGCCTTAACTGTACCCCTGCAGGGGACCTGGTTGATGAACAGAGGCAGTTTGCAGCAAGGGCATGGTGTGCACTTAGTATTATAATTGCTTTGTCTTAAGTTAGAGCTTGAGGTTTTCAGTGTATTGTGAAGGGGAACTGCTAACTTCAGGGTGAGGATACTGCACTGGGGAACACACTGCTCGGGATACTCACGGAGTGGGTCAGAACAAGGTGAGAGTTGCTTCTTTGAAAAAAACAACTTGAGTCTGAAGTATGAAGTTTAGTTTCCATTCATCTAAATTTCTACTAATGCAGCTATATGGGTTGGGTATTCTTTAACAGTTAATTGCCTGGTTTAAGTGTAAAAAAACAAGAACTCCTTTTGGTCTCATGGGTTGTGGTAGATTTTTCACAACTCAGCCATTTTCTTTCATTTAAAAAAAAACTTGCTTAGCAAACTGCAACAGTTACTACAGTTGGGCAAATTGTTATGTTAACAATTACAACATCTGCAATGTTTTATAAAGCAACTAATTTAATAAAAATCACTATTGAGGACTTCACTGCATCTGCCTTTGAACCATTTCTTTTAGTATCTTACCATAAAAATACATCAAGTGGCAGAGTTGCAAAACTGAGACGTGTTGCTCAGTCTTGTAGCTTAACTGGTGTTAGAGGGGCAGGATTTCCTTTATTTCTAAAATGGCTGTTTATGCTAAGACTCTTAGAGATGCTGATGGTCAACAAAGGTCTTCCAGGACTGCTGCAATCCAGGTACTTCCATGGCCAACTTCAATCTTTCCTGTTGCCAGGCCTGCTGAGCTCAGTGCTTGTACTTACTTGCCTTGGGACTATTTCAGGGTCCCTTGGCAGTGGAAGTCGTTGTTTTTCTTGACCGGGCAGGTGGTGTTGCTGAGTTTGGGTGGGATATGTGGGTGCTCTTGCCAGGACAGCCTCATTCAGACCCTCCCCGGCTCAGTGCTGGTAGCTCTTGGGAGAGCTTGAGGTTCTACTTTGATGCCAGGAACTTCAAGCTAAAAGCTTGCTTGCCATCATTTACCTTAGACTGACTAGAACAGGAATTCTAAATCAGGTTCCATTCAGGCACAAGCCTCACTACATAATTTATTTTTTTTTTTTAACCAAAGGAGCTGTGAGTTGTACTACACCTCTGTCCAAGTTCTGGTGCTGCCCTGGCAGGCTGGAGATGAATGCTCTGTGTGTAAATAACTGCTCATGTGCAGCAGCTGCTGGTGTGGAAATGTTCAGCAACCAGCAGGACTCTTAAGCTGTAAATCCAAGTCAGCATCTCTCTGCTGATTACCAGGGTTGCTGTGGGAAGTGTATTTTTGCAAGGATAATGTTTAGATAGGATGTCATTGCTTAATTTTTCTTCAAAGCTGCCTGTAGCTGTCAGCCCCCCTCACCCCTCTTTCTTTGGCAAGAGGGAAGGTCTTGGGATTAGTTGGAAGCTCTGCGTTTATTTTGGGAGCATACAGACTCCAAGCTGAAACTGCATTTCTGCCTGAAGCCATGCCCAAGTCCTGTCCCCCTCCCCAGTTAAATCAGACCTGATTTTGTGAACTTATCAAGAGGTGAAAGCAGCAGAATGCGCTGGCTGCACACTCCTGACAGGGTCTCCATAACCAGCTCTGCTCTGCAGGACTCTAAGCATGGAAAGGACTTAAAATTTAATAAGTATATGTTTGTACTTGATTAATTCTTTTACTCTAGGACAGTAGCCAATTAATGCTGTTTAGAGTTGTACAGTATCTCTAAGCTAGAAAACAAACCCAGCCTAACCAGACTGGAATCACAGAACAGATGATTATAGTGCATAGCTGAAACTTCCCAAGGAGTTTACTAATTCTGCTTATTCCATTGTCAGTGTACTGGATATTCTGCACCTTCCATTTCAGCCTTTTGTTGGTTTAGATGCAATTCATGTGGTGATCCCTCATCCACACCCCTAATTTAAAGGGCTGCTGGATCTCTGTGGTTCCTCATCAGCTGTGCCTGCCTGCATGCACTGGTTAGTTGAGTATTTTGTGAACAGTAAGATTTATTATACAAAACACAATTTTAGGTTAACACAGTCTCAGAATTTTAAATATTTACAACCACCACCAGTTTTCTGGAGTAACTTTCAGAGCAGTGTATCACTGTAAGCAGAAAATTGATAAAAATATCTGCTAAAGGATCAGTACTAACCCTGCAAGAAGCTGTGGTGCTGGGGCTCATCAGAGCCAGGCTCTGCTTCCTGGAGGCTGGGGTCTAGTTGGATAACAGATCGTTAAGGCAACAGCCTGTCTGTGCATCCTTCAGGAGCGCATTTACCACATCGTAGAACTTGTTGTCGTAGGCCAGCCTGTAGTACATATAGATGTCCTCACAGTAAGTGAGCAATTTCTTCAGGTTTTTCAGAGCAGTGTCAGCAGGTGGGTGCTGTTTAACTCTGAAAATAATTGTACAGGTAATTGAAATAGAAAGGCTGCACAGAAACCAGTTCTAAAACTGTCTTGCTGTAGAACTCTAAGAACTTTCTTTCTCAAAAAGAGGTTGTGCTCAACATGTACATTCAATTCATTTTTAAAGAGATTTGATCTGACCAGCCCTAAGGCACACCCTATTTGTCCAGCTCAATAAAACAGGTAGATCCAGGCCTATTTCCACATTATGCTTAGAAACTGAACACAGGTCTCAAGTCTGTATATGACTATCACATAAAAGGTTTTAACAGTACTAAGACCCACATGCTGTTAAACATGCAGCTGCTCCTCTAAAAACAGCCTGTGGAAAAGAAAGTTCCAATTTGACCATGGAACTACTCACTTCTTGGCAATCTCCTCAAATAGGCTGGGCTTCAGTGGTCTTTGTTGTTTAAATTCTTCTAAGTAAGTGAAGTCTCCCTTGGTGATCACTTGTTGATACAGAACTTCAGCCCAATCTGGAACAAACTCATAAGCCTCAGCCACAATAGCTGCCTGCAGGGAGAACAGATGCTGGAATTACTAAGCAGATTATTCTTGCACAGAAATATTCCTGTATTCAGAATACTTAAAATATTCTAGGTCTTCTGATTGATGCTGTTCTTGAAAGCAGCTGTATTACAGAGAAATAAGAGGGTAACAAAATGCTGCAAATAATTTTCCTTAGCCCCTAAACAAAATGTCAGAGGGCAGTCATTTGTTCTCTTCAAAAAGAGCCCATTTCTCACTTATTTCCAAATTTACAAATACCGCTGTCTGTTAGATTTGAGGTCTAGTGTGGATTCGCAGGAGAGCGAGGCCTGTGCTGACGTTTCTGAGCTCACTCCTGCAATACCATGGGACAACAGTGGAAGGGCTGAGCCTTCCGCTCCCAGGAGCAGAGTGCACAGGTACCTGCTGTTACAATCATTTTCAGAAAAAATAACCGGTGATGAAGCCAGGCTTACCTGGTAGAATCTAGGCAAGGACAGGATGGAGTCCATCAGGTTCTGTCTGCTCAGGTTGATCAGCATCGTGCTCTGCCCAGTGTTGAGGAAGTGCAGCTGGAGCGTTATCAGCTTCATTAGCCGGCTGCAACGCAAGGACTGGCGGACACAGGAGTCCTGTTTAATAAATCAAAGATAAACACAAGCTTCTGAAGCATGTTTCTAGAGGAAAGGAATAAGTATTCCTGAGAGCAACAATGAGTTCAGAGCTGTCTGGTATTTCATCTTTTAGATCACTCCAGTTATATCACTGATCATGTTCCATTTGAAATGAAGCTTCAGTCACCACAAATACAAACGTCAATTACAAACGTAATCACAGCAGTTTTTAAACACTCTCTGTAACACTCTGTTCTTGCTAGTTAAGTTCATGGTCACCCCTCTAAAACTGGGGAACTGGTTTTAGATGCCGCCAAGCTGAGAGAGCAGGGGATTCCTCTGCTCCTCCTCTGCTGGGGCTGGATCCTGCACACCCTCCTGAGAGTAGCTTTGCTCACTCCTTGGATGCTCCCAATGCTGTATTGCAGTCCTACAATTCCATCTCTTTTTACCTTGGAATAACTTTCTGCTGCATCAATAAAGAGAGTCAGAGCTTTCATCAGCAGTTTCTTTAAATTTGCAATATCCTGAAGAGACTCCTCTGAAATGGGGAAAAAAAAAAAAAGAATAACCAATTATTTGTAAGGGTGACAAAGCAATTTACAAAAATAGCTCCTGGTACCAAATCTGTCCCTAGTGGTGTTTCAGAAAGCAACAAAAGACTAAAAAAAATCTTGTATTAAGAAAGTGCAAAGAAAGAGTAATACCTATTCAGTTAACAGACCAAAGCCATTGCCAGAACCTAATCGAGTGACAGAAGAACTGAAAGGAAATCCTGATCCTACATTTGTGGTAGATACAAGCACTGACTATCACCAGCTAAATTCAGAAACCATCTGGCACAGCTGCTGTTTTAGCTGCTGCGATGGTCCTGGCTAACTGCTCTGCAGCGAGCTCTTGGTGTGGTCCCCACATTCTTTCAGCTGCACAGAACTCACTAAGTTTACATGTTAACAAACATAAAACCCCAACACTTTACAGATATGCTCTCTATAAAAAAAAACATGGTGTCAGATCCTATTAAGCGAGGACAGCACATGTGTGTCCTTACCTCCCCCCACGCACAGCACCACAGGAACATACATTATGGTAAGAGCCAAAAATTTCAACTCTCTGAAGAATACCACAGCAGCCAGATAAGCTGTTAATTACAAGAATACCCCAAGGCAAACAGGACCCTCCTTCTAGACAGTGGAAGTTTAATGGATGTTACCAGGACAACTCAGGAAATCAAAACTACATTTAGCCTTTGTGTCTTCCTTCTTAAACCTGCTTGTTTCTGCAGCTTCCACTCACCCCATGGCTGAGAGTCAATGAGTTTAAGCTGGATGCAGGCAGCAGCCTCGTGATTCTCCCCAATTTCTCGGCACATGCTGAAGCAGAGGGCTATCATGTTGTGCTTCTCACTGTCCCCGGGACGACAACGCTTGATGTAATCCAGCAGAGCTGTCTTCAGTGTCCCGCTCTGGGCAGATGAAGGAGTACCAGATTAAGATTTGAAGAGCCTTTTCTTAATTCACATTTTGGTACCCACAAGCAAATCTGTTGTGGTACAATTTTCCAAAAAGCAATCATTACACTCTGAGGTTTCTCCATGGTACTTTAAAACATAATGGCAATATTATACTTGTGCTTAACTACATTATGTCAGGTAAGAAAGTCCAGCACATTTATTTATATACGTATGTCAAAACTGCTCTCCCTGCAGCACTGAATTAGTTAGACAAATTGGCCAAACTAAAAACAGAATAAAGCCTAGAATTTATTTATTGCTATGAAACTTAACACCTCCTACACTCCAGTAATTAAAATCCCCAGATAATTCCACCTTGTGTAAATCTGTTTCTGACTCCAAAAGTTTTCTACCCTTTATCCCCCTCCACTTACTGGGTCCAATTTCTTTCTCATGAGCACTTCAAAATAGTGTTTCTCATGCAGCAGTTCAAATATGTAGGTCATTTCATTGTATCTGCCAATTCCAGTAAGAAG